AAAAAAAAAAATCAATCCCCCAAGGTACTATTACAAATAAGCCCTTTTGAGGTTAGTTTTTGGTCACGACCAGCTACAGCTAAAGTTCCATTAAAGAGCGTTTCCACGTGGTAAAACCTTCTCGGGGAAGGCTGAGGTGAAACCCTGAACTATCTAGTTGTCAGACCCATCTAATTTAACGATTGGTTACCATTTACTATACACTAGTCAGATTATACTTGTATAATCTTGTTCAATAGATGTTTATACTTTCAAACTGAAGTGTCTTACGTTAAAAGACAACATAAGTAGGAACACGACATCTCATACCATGAACATAATTTTATTCGTTCAAAAAGCATGATTGATCGATCGTCTAACGATTAGGCTGCTTCATACGAGAATTTGTTTTTTACCTGGAAAATGGTGCATTTGTGAAGTGGAGACATTTTTAGAAGGTTAAGGTTTGTGCTATTAATTATGAGAAACTGATATTATTAAGGGTAGATTTGATGTTTTTCATGCAATGTTTGATTCTACTACTTTCAGTACGGATTGCACGGCATATGATACCCACCATTCGTGCTTGGAAAATTGTGAAATTTAAGGGACCAAAAATAAAATAAAATAAATAGTTATATGGGCATAAATAAATAAACATGAACATGAAGATATGGAGTAATCTATGGATCTTTATTAAATTAAATATTAAATAAAATTATCTCAGATCTAAGGCTTACTCAAAATCACATGACATTTTAACACCTGCAAACCCTACTACATTGCCATTGTTGCACACTTTTATTTTATTACTTTTCGTTGTCCAAGAAACCATGTGATATGATGTAATTTAAAATAAATGTACTTTGAGCTTTTATTTAATTTCAACAAATCCACTCAAGATGACTTAATTTTAAAGGGTTTTTAACAAATATTTATAATTTTAAATAAATTAAAATGCCATGCTCTAAAAAAAAATAAGTAGACTTTTAAATATAAAACATGTATTTTAGAATAAAAAAAACGACGGGTCGACTCATTTAACGATTAAACCTTCTCATACAAGAACTTTATTATTTTATCGTGAGAAACTGTCGTTCATTATTTTTCTCCAATATTTGTTTGGGGCAACTTAACGATGACAAATTGATCCTTCATATTTTTCAATAAAATATAAATTTATATTGAAAAATGTCGTATTATTTTATAATTTTTTTAAAATATGTCATTTGTTTATAAAGTTGTTGATAGTCGACCGTCAACGACTAAAAATTGTGTTTAATAAGCGGTTACGAGTAATTATTAGAATTAGAGTGAATTAATTGTAAAATAAGGGAAAATGAAATGAAGGAGATGAAGAGACAAGTACGGAAAATAATAAGACGCTGATTTTGTCGATCTGTAGATGATTGACAAGGAGAGTAAGGTTCTCCAAAAAATGTTATTGAGAGTATTTGTTGTAATTGTGTGCTTTTACATATGATTGTTCGTGTTTTTTAAAGGGCACATGTTGCCGTATTTATATACGAAAACGTTAAAAATAAATGCACTATGTCAGCTAGCTTAGAGCATACGGTGGCGATGCGTGAATCCATGCAGGACTCGACTTTTAAGGATATGACAGCTTGAGCGTTCACCTTATCAACTTTAATTGTTCAACGTTCATAGAGGGATTGTCAGTCTTTCTGGGAAAATGAGATAGAAAATTCATGAGAGATCGTCTACCAATCGTGAAATCGGCAGATTGTTGATGTTGCTTCTTGTACCACTTTTTTTCTCGAGTTTGCAGGCCCAATATTCGCTATGTTTGGTCTAAATGGGCCGGTTTGAGCTATTTATGAAAATTTATGCACAATAAAAATATCAGAAATGTTCCCCTACTCACGGTGGACACATGTTAATATGCTCACCGCGTAGGTGGCATGCACTCATTGGTGATGTTAATATGTTTAAAAAAATGCATCACCAATGAGTGCATGTCACCTACGCGATGAGCATATTAACATGTGCCCACCGTGGGTAGGTGAACATTTCTCATAAAAATATACATATCTATTGAAAAAATATAACTGAGTAACATGATTTCTTGTTAATTTGTATGGGTGGATTTCTTTTAATAAATGTAGGCAAAATTACATTTTTAGTCCTGTTGGTTTAACGTTGTAGCATTTTTGTCCTAATATTTCAAATTTTTGTCTTTTGATTTTGTAATTTAATATTTTGCTGCAATTTCAGTCTCAAATGAATGAAATTGCAATTGAAGTTAAAATTACAGGACTTAAATTGTTAACTAAAAATTCATCCAAAAGTTTTTTCATCGATAATTTAAGTCCTGTAAATTTTAGATTTTGTTGCATTTTCAGTCCTTTTGGACTGAAATTGCGTTGAATTTTAAAATCATAGGACCAAATAGCAAAAATATTCAATTTTTAAGATTAAAAAGGTCATTGGATCAAACCAACAATCATAAATGTATGCTTTAAGTTAATGCAAATGAATGGTGAGATATGCATAATTCACTATTTCCTTAATTGTAAATATTAGATAAACAAAAAATCTTACATGAATGGAGACACATAAGAAAAAATTAAAAGTTAGATTTTGGTGGTGTTCTATCTTAGTAATTAGGTGAAATGTTTGCAGTAAAGTCAAAGTTGGCCACAAAAGTACCTATATTTTGGGTAAATCAAAATTTTAAGTAATGATTTACTTAGTTAACACTAAAACACAAGAGTAAAATCTAAGAAATAGGTAAATCACAACTCACAAGTTATGGGATCTAAGGTAATTTTCAGTTGTCTCCTTGTCCTTGCTATCAAAAGAGTTCTCTTGTCTTGTTCTTGTTGTGTGTCACATTAACATAATTTTAAATTTTATAAGACATCTTTTGTGTTTAATCCACATTACTTAAACTAATTGTATAAGAATTCATTGAAGAAAAACAAATACATTTAACAAAAATTATATGAAAAACAAAATAATTACTTAAAGATAATTTTGAATATATATAAAGGTTTATGTTTACTTAAAATATTATGCCTTTCTCGCAAAAAATAAATAAAAATATTATTAACTAAATATTTTTTATTAAACATGGTTTTTCTTTTTTTTTCTTTTACATTTTATTTTTGATAAATTTTTTCGTTACCATATGTAGTGATTCTTTCATTTTTATATTAGTTAATGTGATATCAATAAATTGACAACTATTCATAGAATTTTTTCTAAATTATTAATAAGTTTATTAGGTGATATTTTATATAAAAAAGTGAACTTAAATTTCTTATTCAACTCTGGTTTTAATATAAGAATTAGCTTCAAGTTATTCATACAATAAAATATAAATGTATTTATGATAAATATATATTCAGTATAAAATAATCTAAAATAGTAATTGATATGTTTACCCCTAGCGAGTTTAAAAAAACTGATGCTAAGAAAGCATAAAATATAAGTAAACAGTTATCTTAAGGATCAAGTGTACATATATATAATATTAAAATGATAAATCAACAGGTCATTTGTCGACGCACAATGTAAATTATTAGATTATAAGGAATTTAAAATATTTATAATAAGTATTATTATAAATTATGATAAACCAATGAGTCATATGTTGATCTTTCATATAAATTAGAAGTTTATAAAAACAAATTATGATGACAAACCAATGTATCATTTGTAGAACTATCTAAGAAAATTATTAACTTAAAATTAAAGGTTGATTGAACAAAAATTGATTTTTATTTTTAATTTGTATTTAAATATTATTGAAAATGTAAAGATTGAAGGTAAAGTGATGAAAAGGTAGGAGGATACAATGTATCATTTGTAGAACTATCTAAGCAAATTATTAACTTAAAAGGTTGATTGAACAAAAAATGATTTTGATTTTTAATTTGTATTTAAATATTTTTGAAAATGTAAAGATTGAAGGTAAAGTGATGAAAAGGTAGGAATATTATTGGCAATGATAAGTATTTAAAAATACGTAAGTGAATAACTATTATATTAAAATTGATGTGATACATGAATATTATTTATTGATATATATAAAATTATATTAATAATATTGAGTAGAGAAGAATTAAATTATATTTGAGTTGAATCTTAAATTATGTAAAGTAAAATAAATTGTCTGATCAGTTAAAAAAATCGGATATAATTGTTAGCCAAATAATTATTTAATGTTGACAAATAGGGTAAGAAAGAAAAAGACAAATTAAAAGAAAATATTAGGAAATAATAATAATCAGTGGCGAAACCAAGATCCCGTTTCAAGGAGGGCCCAATTTGCCTTTAAAAAAAATTTACGACAAAACCAAACACAAACACAAATTTTCTCCAATCCAGCTTCCCCTCCATGATTTCATGCCTCCCTGCTCCGCTGCTCTGTGTTTTCGGATTCCGGATTTCCGGTGGCGCCCCTCCACGTTTCTGTCGTAAATCTGGTTTTTTATATACTATATATTATTCTTCATTTATATAATTTTAACTAACAATCACTTAACATCACATCTTTCCTACTTTAGCATCAAATTAATTTTAATTATATATTTTATATATAAATTCAAAATCCCACAATGTTTGTTGTGTTTTGTGGTATTTTTCATTTATTTTTCGTGCCTTGGTCATGTATTTTTAGGTTCATTTTAGTGTCGACCAGTTCATTTTATCATGTTTTGTGTATTTTTATCTCGTTTTGTGTTTTTGTCTTTTTAGTGTTGAAAAGTTGACATGCGTCATATTTACGTGCATTTTAGAGTGATTTTCGTGTCCGTTTGTCGTAGTTTGATATATAATTAATTATTATTAATTATTTAATTATTTAATTATTTTTATTAAACAATGATGAAGTGTGTTATTTTGAGTTTTAACAGGAAACAGAGTTGAATAAATTCTCGGAGTCGAAAACGACAAAAATCGGTCAATAACGATGTGCGAACCACATGGGCATTTGAATCCAATTTTATTGGGCTGCGAAAATAGCTTAATTACAAGGCACAGAATAAACTAATAGCAGCAGCCCAATACACATAATTGGCCCAATTTACAAAAAAAGCTTAAGTAAGGGTATGAAGGTAATTTCAAGGGAGATGTTTGTTCTTCTCCTCCATCACGCCATCACCATCCGCCATGAATGAGCTGAGAAGAGCTCCGCTGCTAATTCCGGTGGCGCCCCTCCGGCCATCTCGTGGCGCACCACCCCCATTCCGGCATTGGAAGGGCGCTCAAATGACGCCCTTCCAGTTCCAGCAAAACCCTTCACTCCTAGTTCGAATTTTTTTTTTTTTTTTTTAAGGTGCCAACGCCTCTCCGACCCCCAATCTAGTTTCGCCCCTATTAATAATAACAATAATAATGATAATAATAAGAGAGATGCTACGGTCGATTACGGAATTACGGAACATTCGGTAGGATTTGTAATTGTTAGATTTTCCCTAATAATAAACACGCACTAATCGTGCATTATTTCTCCTCCAACCCAAGATTCCTCCCACCATCTTTTTCTCCCTTCACTCGTCACTTTCCTCACCACACAGAAAAACACAGTAACTCGCGATAAATCCAGAACAGTCTCCTGATCCTCTTCCATGGCATCTTCAACAGTTCATTAACCTCAATCTCATTCTCTTCTTCATCTCATCTCAGCAACACACAGTAGAAATATTTCATTTCCAAATACCATTTCTCGGGTCTTGCTGAAAACGAAAGGAACAAGAAAAATGTGTTCGATTCGTGCAGATTTGAGCGGAAGGATCTTCCCGGAGCCGATCGACCACTTCGACCGGCTTCCGGACTCCGTCGTTCTCCTGATCTTCAACAGGATCGGCGATGTCAAGTCCCTTGGCAAGTGCTGCGTCGTCTCGAGGCGGTTCCACTCTCTCGTCCCCCAGGTCGACGAAGTCGTGGTCCGAGTGGACTGCGTCATCTCCGACGAATACGAAGACGGCGACTCATCAGCGACTTCCTCCTCGTCCGCCGCCGCCGCCGACAAGTCACGCCATCCAATCTCCTCCCTATTCCGCATCCTCTTCTCCGGGCTCTTCAAGCCCCTGCAGTCCCTTTCCCAGCTCATCGCCCCTTCTACTCGCCGCCTCACTCTTCCCGAGGATTCCGACTGCGAGACGGAGGAGCAGGCCGGGGTCGCTCACCATTCACCCACTCAGGTATTGAAAAATTTCAACGAGATTAAGCTCCTCAGAATTGAGCTCCCGAGTGGGGAATTAGGGATTGATGAGGGTGTGTTGCTAAAGTGGAAGGCGAATTTCGGCTCCACTCTTGATAGCTGTGTTATTCTTGGAGCCACCAGTGTTATTCACAACATGAGTACAGAGCTCGAATGTAATGATGCTGTTAGCAATTTCACTAACGGTGGCATGGAGAATGATAATAACGGGAGTTTACCCGAATCGTTTTACACTAACGGTGGGTTGAAACTGAGAGTTGTATGGACTATTAGCTCCTTGATAGCTGCCTCAGCTAGGCATTATCTGCTGCAGCCTATAATATCTGAGCACAAGACATTGGAGGACTTGGTTTTGACTGATGGTGATGGGCAAGGGATTTTGTCTATGAACAAAGAGCAGTTGGAGGAGTTTAGAGTGAAGCCCCTTTCGGCATCTTCAGCTTCGAAGAGGACTTTGGTGCCAGCTTTGAATATGCGGCTTTGGTATGCGGCCCATCTCGAGTTGCCGAATGGTTTGTTCCTGAAAGGGGCAACTTTAGTTGCGATTAGGCCCAGTGAGCAGCAGCCCAAGAAGGAGATGATGGGCTCCGAGGGGGATTGGGTAGTGTCGGCCTTTGACGAGCCATTTGTGACAGCTGCAAGGATGTTGGTGAAGAGGAGAACTTATTGCCTAGAAATGAATTCATTTTGATGAACTTGGAGGTATTCCCTTTTTCGCTGTAATGCTGTGTATGCCTTTTTAAATTATATTTGAGACCTGTTCTTGTATATGATTATTACTTATGTGACTTTCTGAGTTGCGCGTAATTTTGCATTGTCTATTGCTCTGCTATTTGTAGCTCTCGATTTGATGCATTGTAATTTTGTTCGGGATTGCTATATATGTTGCTTTGTGGGTCGCGGTTGTTTCCATGAAAACATGACTTTGTTTTTTTTCTTGGTGAATTAATTTTCTCAATGTAGGAATTTTTTAGTTACAATATGCTGGTCGCATCTCAGAATAATTATAGACGTGTAAAAATGTATTGCGTTTTATCGTGCAGAAATATATGCAAAGATAGCTTTGATTCTACAAGCTGTTGGCCTGAATTTGTATATACTATATAAATTGTGTTCTGAGTAACCTTCTTTATAGCCATTGTTTGATGGATATACCGCATAAATCCATTTTAAATTTTTAATTGACCCTTGAAAATCTTGTTACACTTGTTCCTGATGTTGATATAAGCTTCCATGAATAATCCTCTTCCCCATTTGTCTTTTACAATTTATACGACAAGTTCGTATCTCGTACACTGTCAAATCTGTGCCGTTATCTTACATTTTCATAATAGAGATGGGCAATTTTTGTGTATATACAGTTCTGAAGTTGCATTAAATCATTAAAATGCACCATATTTCCACTGCAACATTTTGACTGTGACTGCAATATGGGCAGGGCACTTGGTTTGATCCCTTTTTTTTTCTCTGAGTAAATAAATAAATGAATGATTTCACAATTTTTTTGTTAATTCTAACTTAATTCTTTGATACAAAATGGATATTCCAGATTCTGTCAAGGAAAGGAGCACAAATCAGTCAATTTTGTGCACAGCAACTTATAAAAGCAAAGTGAGTATATATGGCTTGCCGGTCTAAACTTTGAACAACCGAGCAAATGATGGTAGGCATTTTTTGAACTCGAGCATTTACTGTTGAGCTCGGATGCTAATTTATCACTTATCTATCTGCCGATGCCTTTTCTATCTTGTGAATATTGCCTTAGATCTTTGCGAATGATATGATTATGTGGTGTCCTCAACGAGGCTCACTGGAAAAATGTATCGTGAGCTGTGAATTTCAGCTTCATATTAATATTACAGCTCATTTACGATGATAATAAAATCCGAAAAACGGCTGAAACTTCTCTATATGCAGTGGATTCTGTATATCTTCATCTAGCATTTGCCATTTTCTTCCCTTGCAATGAATTGAGCTTCATATTAATGTTGGCTGCATTTGTGTTGTGGCCAAATTATTATCGACAAGCTGTTTCCAGCTGCTAAGTCCCCATTATTGGCACCTATTTGTCTCTCTTTATAAACTTAGGCTTTGTGGAGAAGACGTGCATTTTCCTCACAATAATTGACCACTCATAACCATATCCTTTCTGTATAAGGGCACCCAATCAATCAATTATTCATGCTAAAAACAGTGTGCCAACTATATTGCTTTTTATTTATTTTTTTCCTTATCTTGCATGGAAGCAATAAATCAGGAAGGATAACATAAATTAGATGAAGAGGTATTGAAAGGATTGGTTTTCATAAATTCTTGTATGAGCCGTGCTACCAGTCTCATGGGTTGACCGATCATTATTTTTTATTATATACTTGTTATGTGAAATATCATATTTGTTTATGTTCCTAATACTTAATTCTAAGTGCATGTTTTGCTTTCCAGGATAAGGTAGGATATTCCGCATTATCCTGCCTTAATTCCATGTTTGGTTTTTGGTTGCTACGATCCGGCCCTAGATAGATTGCTTGGCGCGGGATTAAAATTGTTTTTATCCCATGACAGTGGGATAAGTTCATCCCCTTTTTGGTGGGATTAGGATAATCCCACAGGTTCGGATTATTTTTCTCCAATCCCATCCCACCAAACAAACATGGGCTAAAAGTATTCATTCATATATGTTGAGAAATCATGAGTGCATAAAGGGTAGTGCTGCTAAACGAGTTTGGCTCGGCTCAAACGAGTCGAGCTCGAACTCATTTAAAGTTTGTTTAGTTAACGAGACGAGCTCGGTTCGGCTCAATAAGACTCGAAAAGAGAATTTTTATATAATCTTATGTATTTCGGCTCGTTAAAGCTCGAGATTGGCTTGTTAATGTTCGAACTCGGCTCGTTATTGGTAATAAATGAGTCGAGCTCAAGCTCGGTTTCAGGCTCGTTTATTTATCGAGCTGAGCTCAAATCCCTAAGCTCAAGTTCGACTCGACTCAACTCGTCTACAAACCTAATAAAGGGTTATGCCAGTCTATATATACAATTGAAGACATTTTACTCTTCAACCGGAAAATAGCACTTGCAATCACCCATTCCATTTTGATTGCATCCAAAAGAATACAGTGATACTTCAGCAACTAAGTAAGCATTTTGTTCAAGCCAATATTGATTCATGCCAACTAACTAGTGATACTTATTGTGGAATATCATGTTTATTTATGTTCGTAATACTTAGTTTTGAAGGTATTCATATATGTTAAAGAAATCATGAGTGCATAAAAGGTAGTGTTGTTAAATTAAACGAGTATGACTCGGCTTGTTTGATAAACGAGTTGAGCTCGATCTAATTTAAGGTTCGCTTAGTTAACGAGTTGAGCTCGGTTCAGCTCGATAAGACACGAAAGAGAATTTTATATATTTTTATATACTTCGGCTCGTTTCGAGATTGACTCATTACAACTTGATCTCGGCTTATTATTGTTGATAAATGAGCCAAGCTCGGGCTTGATTTTAGGTTTATTGCTTTAACCAGCTGAGCTCGAGCTTGAATCCTTTAATTTCGAGTTTGACTCGGCTCGTTTATAAGTCTAATAAAGGGTTATGCCCATCTATATATACAATTAAAGGCATTTTACTCTTGAACTAGAAAATAGCACTTGCAATAACCCACTCCATTTTGACTGCACCCAAAAGAAACCAACTAAGTAAGCATTTTGTTCAAGCCAATATTGGTTCACTAATTTGTATGCTAGGGAAATGCTATCATTACGATACTATCCCGTCGGGTATTTTAACCGTTGGATTCACACGTAGTTAGATAAGATAGACGATCTAACAGTTAAACACCCGACGAGATGGTACTGTAACGGTAGCGTAGCATTTCCCTATATTTTGTATCTGCACATAGAGATTCTGAGGCAGTTAATATAAAAGCACTAGCAGTTTCATTTTACATTAAAATCAAACGATTTTCAGCCTTTATTAAAAAAAAAGTTGTGACAAAAAAATATATTACAATAATAAGTGCAGAATTAAGAAATGAACTTAATAAATAAATAATAAACTTGGTTATGATTAATTGAATTCAGAAAAAACAAATGCTAGTTATGATTAGTTAAAACAGAAAATAAAATTTTATTTAGAAAAAAAAAATCATCAATCCTACTTGTTTATATGAAAATCACGGAACCAATTTTTATATTTTTATCACAGCGTTTCATTTAATTCCGCTTTAATATATCTTTTTTTTTTAATCGGTTCAACATTTTTCTTTTTGTTTACAAAATTCCATCATATTTAATAAGTTCCAACAATATCACCCACACTTTAAATCCTAAATAAAATATTAAATTACTAGTACAAAGTTCTTGTATTACACGGGTGCTTGCTAATTTTTTTTCTTAAAATCTAAAATTAATGAGAAAAAAAATAATTGAAAATTTAAATACCTTTTATAAAAATATATATATTATTATATATTTAGTATGGCACTTATTATTTGTACGACTTACTTGTGTTATATTATAATATTTTTTTAATATACATATAACTACATTAAAAATAATAATATCAATTGAAAAATAATTTTATTTTTCTAATGAATTTTAGTAAATATTATTATTTTTTATTATTATAAAAATTAATATAATTTATTTATTTCATATATACAATATGGATGTCAAATCGAAAATCATCAAAAGATGGTTAATTTTTTATATTATATATGCAAAAGGGTTATAATTAAAGGGTGAAAAGGCAATGATATATTAGTCACTTTATGTAAAATTACAAGTAATTAAAGGGCTATATTAGTATAAGTGATTAAAATACATAACTTAGCTAAATAATATTTAGGGAATGTCTGAATCTAGATTATTAGTTATTGATATCCTCCCTATATATTATTCTCGAATGCGCTGAGCCTACATGGCTGCTTCTGGTGCTTCGGAATCCTACTTGACAAAGAATCATGCTTCGTAATTAGGTTTGGACAAAAAATATTGATATATTAATAATTATTAATCTAGGTTCGAACATTCCATAAATATTAAATAGCTAGCTTAGGTATTTTAATATCACTTGTACTAATATAACCCTTTAATTTCTTGTAATTTTACATAGTGAGACATTATGTGACTAATATATCCCTGACTTTTGATTTGTTTCCTTCAATTAGTTATTTAATTGTAAATGTATTTTAAAAGTTGACAACTTTTGTATTTCTTATCGATTTTACATATATAATATATTAAATTAATCATCTTTTGATGATTTTCGATTTGACATCCATATTGTATATATGAAATAAATAAATTATATTTATCTTTATAATAATAAAAAATAATAATATTTATTAAAATTCAGTAAAAAAAATAAATTATTTCTCAAATGATATATTTATGTTTAATGTAGTTATATGTTGTAAGTTTAAAATTATTATAATATAAACAAGTAAGACGCACAAATAAAAAAGTGTCATACTAAATATATATATTTTATAAAAGGTATTTAAGTTTTTAATTACTTTTTCTCATTAATTTTAGATTTTAAGAAAAAATTAGCAAACACCTGTATAATACACGGTCGTTGTACTAGTATCAATATTATTTGTCCAAACTTAATTACGAAGCATGATTCTTCGCCAAGTAAGATTCATATTAAAATATCTAACTTAGCTAAATATTATTTATGAAATATTTGAACTTTATTAATTAATTTGAACTTTATTAATTAAGTAGGATTCTACAGAAATTTTATGGTGCCACATGTGGCACCATATTATGGTGCCACAACATGATGTGGCACATTATGATTGGTGCCACAACTATCACACATCATGTTGTGACACCAATCATAATGTGTCACATCATGTTGTGGCACCATAACACGTGCCACATGTGGCACCATAGAATTTCTGAGGATTCTAAAGTACTAAAAGCAACTATGTAAGATGAGCTCATTCGGAAATTATATATAGGGCGGATATAACATATCTTTCCCAATAATCTTCAATATATTTTTCTAAAAGAAAATTCCAAAATAAACGAACAAATTTTTT